AATTCTTGCTCATACAAACCCTCCTCTTTCTCACCATTGGACTCCTGGAGCTCCACCTGGGGCCTGACCGTGGGTCTCTGCATCCGGCTCCCTCAGTCATTGGATGATGTTTCTCTGGTCCAGAAGGAAAGTTCAGGGCAGGATCCATTTTTTTCCTTTCTAAAGCTGCTCTTTAAACAGATATTTTGAGGACTTTGTGTTAAGAATGCTTGCTGCTCTTGCAGAGGACAGGGGTTTGGTTCCAAGTACCTACACATTGGGTGGCTTACATCTGGCTGTAACTCTAGTTCCAGGGGATCCAGTGCCCTCTTCTGGCTCTGAGGTCAGTTGCACTAACAGTGCATACACATACATGTACCTGCATGCACACATACAATACATCTACACATTTAAATAAAAATAGAATAAAATAAATGTAGATACTAAGTATTCCCTCATATACCTTAAATATTTATTTGTATACTCTATTTCTAATCAGTTGTTTTAAACTTCCAGGTTCAACTTTAAAAAAGCTTCTACACACTGGAAATTCTATTAAGGTAATCATTTCTGATGAAAGTATAATGGAATATTTCTTTAAGTTTTTTAGATTTATTTATTTTATTGTATGTGTTTGAGTGTTTTGCCTGCACGTATGTACATGTACCACATGTGTCCTTGGTGCCAGCAGAGGTCAGAAGAGGGCGTTGGATCCTCTGGAACTTGAGTTATGGATGGTTGTGATGAAGGCTGTGGGAACTCCTCCCGTATGTTTCATTTGCATCTGATAACACATTGTAAATCCTCATTTACAAATGTATTTTCTTTTATTGACATCTTTTTAATCATTTAGGAATACAGAAAAGGAGGACTGTGTGTTTTGAATTCTAAAAATAGGGTAGAGATGGAAGTGAGTGTAGCGTGAAAAGCGTTCATGTTCTGTTGGGCACTGCTCACCATTGAGATCGTGGTGAAGGTGCAGGAGGGAGCTGAGTATAGACACGAGGCAGGGAAGCTGGACAGCAGCCCATGTCACTCAGCCAGCTCCTCCGAGTCCCATTAGCTCCAAAGAACATTATGTTAACATGACTGAAATTCTGTTCTGTTCTCCCCTAGTGTAAATGTGGAAGGAGAGTCTCTCTGACATTGCTCCTGTGGACAATTGAGCATTGATGATGGGGATATTATTGCCTTACAAAATGGCAGTGGGAGCCAGACACTGCCTTTTGTGCCATATGCAAGTTAACTCACTCAATCCTCCCATTTCACAGATGGGACAACTAAGACACAGAGAAGTCAAATGATTCTCCATGTATCACAGCTAGACAGTAGCAAAGGGTGAATTTGAACCCAGGCCTCTAACTCTCGTGCCCAAGCTTTTAGCCTTTGTACTACATTGCATCCTTGCTTGTTACTGAAGGAAGAGCTTCTGTGCTTTAATGATACTTTTATCCCCTCCCCTTCCTTCCTTTTCTCTCTTTGGAGGTGGGGAGGATCTTGCTTTGAAGCTCAGGCTGGCCTGAAATTTGAGATTTCTCCTGTCTCAGACTCCCACATGCTGGGATTACAGATGTTATACCACCATACCATACTTGACACACGCACACTCTCTCTTTTTCTTTTTCTTAAGACTGATGCTGCTCTACAAATAATGTATTAAATGTTTGATTTTTGTTGCTTTTAATTTTGTTTTTAGATAAGATGTGAAGGAATCAGACTGTATCTTTTGTGGCTTCAAGCACTTCAGACAAACTGTGCGGAAGAGCAGGTGCTGATTTTCGCTTGCCTGGTGCCTGGTTTCCCAGCGGTCCTGTCATCCAGGGGACCCTGTACACTGGAGACACTCATCAACCCTAGCCCTAGTGTAGTTGATGGTAAGCAGCATTAGCAGGGTTGACATGCTGAAATGACTCTGTTAATTTTTAGTTTTAGGGGTATGTGTGTGCGTGCATGTGTGCATGTCTGTGTCTGTGTGTATGTGTCTGTAAGCATATACCTCATGTGTATGGGTACCCAAGGAAGCCAGAAGAGGACTCTATATACCCCAGGAGCTGGAGTTACAAGTGATTGTGAGCCACCTGACATGGGTGCTGAGAGCCAAACTCGGGTCCCCTGGAAGAGCAGCTAGCCAAGTGCTCTGAACTTCTGAGCCATCTCCCCAGCTCAAAATTACTCTTGAGCTTACCTTGAAGGTTTCCTTGGTGTTGATGTTCTTGAATAGAAATTTTGATAAAGCTGAGGAGGAATGATTCCTTGTGATTCACAGAGGATTCCTAAAGACATTATAATGAAAGCCATAGTTCAACCCACAGTGTCACAAAAAAAAACAAAAAAAACAAAAAAAACAAAAAACTTAGGGTACAGGAAGTGGTGGCATAAGCCTGTGATCCCAGCACTTGGAGGTGGAGGTGGAGGTAGGAGGATCAGGATTTTAAGGTCAGCCTTAATTACCTACCTAAAAAGTTTGAGTCCAGCCTGGGCTATGTGAGAGGCTCTGTCTTAAAAAACAAAACAAAACAAACCAGAACAAAAAATCTGGAGCCTATTTTCTATTAAATTATAATGAGAAAATTTCTGAAGTAGCAGAAGCAGGAATGGAATGCAGGGGGCAGATGTTGGCTACAGTGTGAAGTAACAAGTGTTTTCTGTGAGCTAATGAAATTTAAATGTCCTCCCTAGCCACTGTCTGTTGTTCTTGTCACTGTTGTTTCTTTAAGAGGCCATTCATCTTACTTTGCCAACTGTGTTTTTCCATGTGGCATTTACAGAAGGACAGTAGTGACCTCATTGGACTGTCTGTGTCCCATGAGTGTGAACTTACTGTAACACTTCATTGCATTGGATTTTAGGCTGACCAGGACAGAATTTGAATAGAAAATTCAAATAGAGGAAGGAAAGGCTCTGTGGACCTCTGGGCCCTAAGCCCTTGTTCATACTGGTTTGGGGTTCAGTCTGAACAGTTCCAGTGGCTGGATAGATGTGTTGTAATAGAGACCAGTTTTAAATGCTTATTTAAAATTTGACTTTGATGAATAAGCTCTCGTTATTTTTTACTTTTTAGCAAAAATATATCCAGAAGAAATCACCCCACTTCTGCCAGCCGTATCAGGGGAGAAGATCGCTGAGGACCAAACATGCTTTTTTCTTCAAATACTGTTGAAATATATGGTTATTCAGGTCAGAGAAAAACCAAGCTGTCTCACTGATGGGTTTGTTTTCGTAGGAAGGAGAGTTACTGTTTCTTTTCTTTCTGTGTGTCTGCGTTGCTTTCCCTGAAGTGATTTTATGTGGCGGTTCATTAGACGCAGGGCATGCATCATTGCTGGGCCACTTCAGAAAGACTCCGTATGAGTACTTTTATGTGTGAATTATTTAAGGTATCTTTACTTAAAAAAGTTATGCATCCTTTGGCAATTTCATACATAAATACAGTATATTTAGATCATCTTCATGCCGCTGTCTGCCACCTCTTCCTCTCTCCCTGCTCCTCCATCATCCTTCCAACTTCATGTCTCCTTCTCCTTTTCTTCCTTTTTTTTTGAGTCAGAGTCTCACTGTGCAGCTAGCTCTGCCTGGCCTGGAACTTTCTATGTAGACCAGGTTGGCCTCAAACTCCGCCTGCCTCTGTCTCCTGAATATGCCACCTTACCCAGCGCTTCCGTTTTAAAATAGCCCACTGCGTATAGTCAGAGCTGTACAATTAGATGTGCATAAATGTAGGGCCATTTGTTGGACCATGGGTAGCCTCCCATGGGCCATGGTGCTGAAGAAAACCGACTCCTCTTCACCTGGCAGCTATCATCTGCCAAAAGCTCCTTCTCTGCCCATTTTAAAATGTTGACTGCCTTGACCTTGTGCGGGCAACCACAGCTGCTTATTGTCGTAGTCTTTCCTGACCTCTGACATTTAGAACTTTCTACTCTTTTTTCCAAGATGTTCCCTGAGCTATGGGGAAATGGGTGATACATAGAACAGGTGTTCTATTTGGGACTCCACAGTCACTTATTCTCTGTACTTTGAACAGTTGTGAGCCTCTGTACTAACCACCATCCACCACATGCAGAAGCTTTTCTGATGAGGGGTGTGAGGTGTGCTAACTATAGTATTTAGAAGGCAGTTTGATAATGTCCCTTTAGCAAAATAAGTAGGATCTGCCCTAGGGCCTGTGATATTCAGTCATGGGTTCTTGGCCAGGTTTACAATACCTGGAATTTGTATCATCTTTGGAGCTTTGTTGAGATATGATTTCATTATATTATTACCAATAGTGTCATTTAAACATTGATAATAGGAATTTTAATCTAATATCATTTCATGTTTGTGTATGTTAATTTAAACTGTAAATATACAAATGTCCTTTCCCACATATCATCCAAAGGCTGCAAGCTTGGAGTGGAAGAATAAGGAGAATCAAGATACTGGTTTTAAATTTCTTTTTACATTGTTTCGAAAGTATTATCTTCCTCATTTGTTTCCATCATTTACTAAGTTAACCAACATCTACAAACCTGTGCTTGGTAAGTACTCTTTTATTCCTGTGTGGATGTCATCCACAGGGAAATTGTACAGTAGCTTTCATAGTAATCCCTGTGATATTTTAAGGCAAAATAGTCACTTTATGTTCATATTGAATGGTAATATTGTTGTGAGAAGTTAAAGTTACCTAATGAATGATTCAATTATGTAAACTCATTTAGAGATCTTGCCTCATGGAAATAAAGAGAACCATGGTTTCTATAAAAATAATTTAAAACATGTCATGATATTTCTGGATGTTTGACACCTTTTAATGTCATATTTTGCATTTCTTAGTCTTCTCTAATGGGTAATGAGTTATAGTGATGTCAGATCCTGCTCAATGGTTATGCCGTCCAGCCCAGGACATACAGTTGCTAGAGGGATGCACTTTATGTTGGGGCTTTTATCTACCAGGATACTAGCAGATGCTTGTAGAGGGAGATGCTTGAGTGATGTGACAGTCTAGAGATAGGTGGTCCCAGAATTCTGGGAAATAGAAAGGAACATTTAACTTAGCTCCTAAATTTTCCTTTTATTGGGATTAGGATTAGGATTCACAGGATGAATGTAATCCCTCACAGTGGTGAAAGTGAGGACAAATCTCCCTATAAAAACACGAAATTAGTTAGATGGATAATCAAGAATAGCTTTGGAGGAGAAAAGATCACAAGGGACTGTACTCTCTCTGTAGGATGTACCCGACTAATTCAGCTGAATTTCCTGTCTCTCACACACACACGGACAGACACACAGACTCACGGACTCACAGACACATGAGAAGGGAGAATAGCTGAAGCCTGATGCATTTTTAAAAATCTAGAATAACTGACTTATAGGGGTACCGTAACCTGTATTTTGTGTGTGTGTGTGTATATATATATATATATATACACACACACACACACACAACACACACACACACACACACACACACACACACACACACACACATATTATATTTTTTTCCAAAATTTGTTTCTGACTTTATGTGTTGTCTATATTCATTGTAAAAGCACTATACATTGTTGTTACTAGGTTGAAAGTTACGTATTGAAACTGGTCATGGCGGCCCATAACTGCCCTCCTAGGCCTTGGAAACTTGAGACAGGAGAATTGTGAGTTAGAAGCCAGCTTTGGCTACATGTAGAGATTTTTATATTGAAAAAGAATAACAGAAAAGTTATTTATTGTCATTATTTTAGCTTCACCAAGGTACTCCAGGAATCTAGGAAGTAGTTAATATACAGGGTAGGACTTACGGTAAGTTTCTATCTCAAATCCAGCCTTATAGTATTCATAGTTGATGACACTTAATGAAGACTGAGATTCTGAGTTCATTTAGATGAAATTTTTGGCTTCCTGAGTATAGGGATTACAGACTTGTACCACAATGTCTAGCTTTAGATATTTTTTGTTAAAGTTCATGTTTGCTTTTACATTTGTTCCAGTCATAAAATAGCATTAAATTAGCTATACCAGAAATGAAGATATATTCACTATTGTAGTCTCATAATCTTCAGAATTGTTAATGAGAGAAATTAGCATGGTAGTATACTATTGCAGTATGTAGGCAATAACAGCCACCTCTTTATTTATATTGTAAGGCAAAATCATAATCAAGCCTTCTAGAAGTTGTTATTTTGTAAACATTTATAGGTCTTCATTATTAGTTGCATTTTAAACAACCAAAAATATGTTTATTAATTGGAACCATTTGTATGGATCATGTAATGTTGAGATTCACTAACTTAATTGTGTATTCTCTTTCTTTCTATCAGAAATCCCTCATTTGAGACCAAAGCCTGTATATGTTACTGTAACTCGAGATAATGAAACAATTTACAGTACAAAAATTCCATACATGGCAGCTCGTGTTGTTTTCATTAAATGGATTGTAACTTTCTTTTTGGAAAAAAAATATCTAACTGCAACACAAAACACTAAAAATGGAGTTGATGTATTGCCTAAAATCATCCAGGTATGCCAGCCATCATTGAAAATCTTTCTCTTACATAATAAACAGCCCCACATTAGCGAAGTAACTGATTGTTAGAACTGTGGTTCTTGTAGCTTTGATTTACTGGCTCACCTGTGTGCAGGGCTGGGGTTTCAGAGGGAGCTTTGGTCTGAAGCACTTGCCTCACAGTCCTGGAATTGCTGCAGAAAGGCAGTCTCAGGGGCAAGGAGAACTCTGAGAAGACAACTCTCGTGCCTCCCTTCTTTCTGCTTTGCTTACATGTTGTATCTTCTGAGCACAGGCACAGGCTCTTGTCTTTTCTTCATCAGTCACCAGTAGCTGGAAGGCCATCAGGTTATGTAGATGTGGCCTATGGAGAGAGTTCATGCTGTTGTGTATCTTCTGGCTTCTGAGGAGAGGGCTTGGACTAGCAGCTCAGTATCCTGGGGTAGCTGTCTTCTCAGGAGAGGGCTTGGACTAGCAGCTCAGGATCCTAGGGTAGCTGTCTTCTGAGGAGAGGGCTTGGACTAGCAGCTCAGGATCCTAGGATAGCTGTCTTCTCAGGAGAGGGCTTGGACTAGCAGCTAAGGATCCTGGGGTAGCTGTTGCTTCATGATGCTGTTCCTGGAAATAAGCCTGCCTTTGTCTGAAGCCTTCATAAAAGACTTCTTAGGTAGGAAGGTCTTTGGTATGTGTACTTGGTGGAGCACCACTGTTTTCAGAGCTTAGAGAGCAGTCGCATTAATGAAGGGTCATGGCTTTGTGTGGGTTGATTAGTATTGTTTGTTGTCTCCAAGAATAGGACCAGCAAGTGTAGTGCACTTACTGAAGATTTGTTGATGTCAAGGAGGTTCCAGAAATAGGACATCGATCCAAGCTGGGGAAACCAGCTGGAGGAAGCAGATCAGTAGTTGGTATACTTCAAGGTCATTGGTCCCTTGGTACGAAGAGTTACACCATGTAGTCCAGAGCCTGTGGATCCACTGTAGAGGACTTACTGGAGACCGAGAGGGCAAACTTGTTTTCAAAAGAGTCTCAGGATTGAATTTCAATAAGAATAACGGAGGGCTTGCTGAAAGACAGTTCAAAACAAAACAAAACCCCTTAATTTTGTACTTTGGAAGTTAGAAGATGAAATGAAAATGGTAATGGTTGTATTTATTTCCTTAAATTTTTTATTTCAAATTTAAAATATGGTATTCTTTCATAGATCTGAAGTGAGTGAGCAAGTGTGGTGGTACACAATTTTAATCCTACCACTTCAGTGGTAGAGGTAGGTGGATGTCTGTAAGTTTGAGGCCAACATGGTCTGCAGAATGAGTTCCAGGAGAGCCAGGGCTGTTACCCAGAGAAGCCCTGTCTCAAAATACCAAAACCAAAACAAACAGACAAGCAACCACCAAACAAAACAACAAAAAAGTGACTGTCCTTGTCAAGGTGATCAAAACTGTTTTCAATCAATGCACTAGTTTTATAAAAGATGTTACAAAATATTTCAGAAAAAAGTTCTGTTTTACAATAGAATTCCCTTTTTTTTTGCTGAATATGAGGTGTTTTTGGTTTTCTCTTCCCAAAGTGAAATAATGTTCTTTTCTTGGTCTAGAACTATTTTTTTAAAGATTTATTATATATATATATATATATATATATATATATATATATATATATATATATATATATATATATATAGTGTTCTGCCTGCATGTATGCCTGCAGGCCAGAAGAGGGCACCAGATCTCATTATGGGTGGTTGTGAGCCACCATGTGCTTGCTGGGAGTTGAACTCAAGACCAGCTGGAAGAACAGACAATGCCTTTAACCACTGAGCCATCTCTCCAGCCCCCTAGAACTTGTTCTTTTGACAGGGAGAAACAGCTAATAATGTGCCTTTTAGACTTAGCTTCCCTAGCACTAGGTAAATCTGGCCTTACAGATTTTCTTGTTCCTTGATGTGTTACTTAGCTCTTTGTTACTGTTGCAAAAATACCTGAAATAGTCAACTTAAAATGTTTATTTTGGCTCATGGTTTAGAGGTTTTGTCCATGGTCATTTAGTCCTACTGGTTTGATTTTGTCCATCAGGGATTGAAAAAAATTGATATAGCCAGGCAGCTGAGCATATTTATATGTATAACTCTTTAGTTATATTAATAAAATATTACTTTTACTAATTCTGAGCTAGTTCTTGCAGTGATCTACAGGCTCTTGGGACAAATGGGTGGAACAGTGACACACACAAGCTGACATCTCTGCAGAGCTTTAGACATTGATTTGTGGACTCCTGTCGTATGTTCTCTGTTGTTCTTGAACTTTGCAGAGGCAAGGCTTGGATGTGCTGAGCAGGTTGGCAGATCAAGATAGAGGAATGAGTGGCATCACATTCAGGCACCACCAACAAAACAACGAGACATACCCCTGAGAGTTGCTTTGTGGGTGGTGGGTGTCCATGTTTAGGCTAACCCTGAGAATGAGCATATCTCAGTATGCGCTATGGGGTTGAGAGGGTACCAGGGTGGCAGAGAAATTTACGTGGGGAGTAAGTGACAGTCTGTGTTATGTGGTTTTCTGAACCGTGGTAGTGCTGGCCTGGTCCTGGTGGGCATCTCTGTTTTGCTGACAAGGCTTTTTCATGTGCCAGGGGACATCAGGATGGACTTATACTAACAGCAGCTTGGAATTCCAGCTTGACTCTAGTGGATGAAGACAGACTCCTTCTGAAGCCAGTTCTTCATACTTACACAGCCTTACCCACTGAGCCATCTTCTTAGCTCTGTGACTTGATGCTGCACAATTCTTCATGCTGTTTTAGTTATTTCATTGCTGTGATATAAACCACCTCCAAACTTAGTGTCTGAAAGCTGAAACCTTTCAACCTTATTTTCTTATTTTACTTTGGGGGCCAGGATCTGGCTTAGTACATCTTGTGTATTTCATGGGTCTTGGGTGGTGACCTTTAGCTGGTGAATGGTTGTTCTGCAGGATGTAAGATGACTTCATTCACATGCCTGTTATTGCCAGTTGGAAAGAAGCCTGGCTCATCTTGAACTACTCTATACTGTTCCACTAGCCGGGTCATTGGAGTTCTTATATGGCCACCGGGGGCTCCAAGAACAAAATGCTTTAAGAGATGGAAAATGTTAACTGTTCGTCTTTCAGGCCTGGACTGGTGACTCTCATGCTTTTGTTATAGGCAGGCTCCAGGTTTTCACACCTCTGTGACAGCAGAGTAAGTGTGGAGTGCTGGTGTGACGATGACACACATTGCTTTTGCACATTAGCTTATTTGTGGTTTCACAAATGCAAAGTAAACTTTTTAGCTGACAAGATTTCACAGCCCTCTTCCCTGAAATAACTTAGTAGTTTTCCTGTTGAAGTCACTGAGGTGAGGAATAATTACTTGGTTAATTAGAAAATTGCTAAGTAGAGGTTCAGGAGTCATGCTTCAGGCTCCTTCCTGTACCCTCTGCAGGTTGATGGTAATCAGAGTACTTGGAAATAAGGGGAGACCTGGATCTGGGCATATGATCAGTGGCAGAGCACATGCTCACATATGTGAGATGTAGGTTCCTTCACCAGTACTGCAACACTCACAAATCCCAAAAGGCAGTGAGCAAGACAAGACTCACATTTTGCTATGTGCTGGTGAGCGAGGGATTGCTAAGACGTGTGATGATATTTTCCAGACCGTTGGTGGTGGTGCAGCACAAGAAAAGGCGCCAGAGCTGGATGGTGCTGGGTCCACAGAGCAGGACAAAAGCCATTCTAACAGTAGCACCTTGTCTGACCGAAGACTCAGCAGCTCCAGTCTTTGTAGCATTGAAGAAGAGCATCGAACAGTGTATGAAATGGTGCAACGGATCCTCCTGTCCACACGGGGTTATGTGAATTTTGTGAATGAAGTATTTCGACAGGTCAGTATATGTTATACATTCATGAAGTTGAAGTCTCTTTGTTCTTGAGTTAGTCAGCTTCCCATTGCTCTAACACATGTCTGGGGGCATCAGCTTAAACAGAGGAGGTATATTTGTCTCAGTGTCAAAGGTCTCAGGCCAGGGTCACTTGGTCCTGTTGCTTTGGTCCTGTGGCAGGGTGGTATATTAAGGTAGGGACAGGAAGCAGGTGAGGCCTGTTTACCTTATGGGTGGGTGTGAAAAAAAGAGAGCAAGAGACTAGAGTCCTACAGTCTTCTTTGAGGGCATACTCTGCTATGACCTATAATACCCCATTAAGCCACACCTCTTAAAGTTTTATGCTGCTTTTCAATAGTGCCAAACCAGAACCAGATCACACATGGGCCCAGGGGAGGATGGGGCACTCTAGATCCAAACTGTAGTGTTGTTGTTTTATTTATGACACAGTAGGCAATAGTATTGATGATTTGGCCTAATTTATAGAACTAAGTAATGGCCCTTCTAGGTCCACTTTTAGTTTGTCACAAGTTTTTATGACTCACAAAAAAAAAAGTGTTTTTTTTAATCACTATATAATGAAGGAAAATTCATCAAATACTTTCATGCTTCCATGGCAAACTCAACTCAGGTAGGTGGATAGAAAGCTATTCTTAGTACTTAGTACCAAGTGAACCCAGTGTTTCCAGAGCTTCAGAGCTCACATAACCCAGAGGCTCTTTCCGAAAGCTGTTCTTTCCCTAAAACGTTGGGTCACACCAGTATGTGATAGAAATACTTGTGGCCCAGGAGACAAGAGATGGACGAGAAAGAGTAGAGGAGAGAAAGGTTTTGTGTCCAGGACCCTGGAATATCATACCTCAGATAGGAAAGGTGCTGGGAAGAATGAAGCAGGAAGCAGGAAAAAGCAAGGGAAAGAGAAGGAAGGATTTGGAAGCCAGATTGCAGAAATCGTGCCCAAGGTTTGCAGCAGGGTTGATGCTCCTGGGACACAGCAATGTCTGGGATTGATTTTGACTGGCATCTTGTGGCTAGCCAACTTTATTACATTATAAGTTTATCTTATAAAGGATAAATGTACCACTGAACTATGATAAAAGCCTGTAATCCCAGTATTTGGGAGGTGGAGGCAGGAGGATCAGTTTAAAGCAAGCCTCAGCTACACAGCTAGCTTGAGATTACCCTGGGCTACATGAGACCTTCCTTGTCTCAGAAAACTAAGTAACTGACGAACTAAATAAATGTATCACTATCAGAAATTGATGAGGAATCATAATATATAGGGTTGTTTAATCTTAGTTTTGTATTTAGCAAATCCTTCATCTTGGTTCCACAGCCTTAGAGTACTTGCTTTGTTGGATATTGTGCCTGCTTTTTTGTTTCGTTTTGTTTTGTTTTTGTATTTGTTTATTGTCATTGAGTAGTTTCAAGAAGGTATCCCAAAATTCACTTTCATTGGTCCTTTGAAAATAGTGAATGTAGGTTTTTTTTGTTTTTTGGTTTTTTTTTTGGTTTTTTGAGACAGGGTTTTTCTGTGTAGGTTTGGTGCCTGTCCTGGATCTCGCTCTGTAGCCTAGGCTGGCCTCGAACTCACAGAGAGCCGCCTGGCTCTGCCTCCTGAGTGCTAGGATTAAAGGCGTGCACCACCACCGCCCAGCCTGTTTTTTTGTTTTGTTTTGTTTTGTTTTTTTCTTGTACATGTGGCCACAAGCTTAGCTGAGTGTAATAATCTTAGGTCCCTCTTGCACTTAGAAATTTGTAACCAGACCTCTCTTGACATACAAATCAGAGCCAGGAAGACTTTATAAGGACTTCAGTTCTAAAATTGAAACTTGGGGATGAATACATTTAACATTTTAAAGATAAACTTGAACATGTTTGCAGTAAGCAGGAAACTATAACATCTGACGAATACATACTAAAAAAGGAGAAAACATAATTTAAAATGAATAATAGTAATAATTGGGGTATTTATTACAACAGAAGAAAACCTCAGTGTATAGTCTTAATAGCAGAAGGGAGGCAGCAGAAGATAGACTAAATTGGGTGAAGAAATGGTCCTGCACCTACCTCAGAGTGACAGAATGAAGTGGGACAGGTTGAAGCAGGAGGCTCTAATAGCAGGCCTGATACTTTTCTCACTTCTCTCTCAGCTCTGTTCGGGTTGGTTTGCTTTCTATCCAGTGAGAATATCCTGCTATAGCTATAGATGATCCTTTTTTTCTTTTCAAAGTCTGATATTTGCAGTATTTTTGCATAAGCATCAGTTGCAACATAGTGGTGTATTTGCTGGCTAGTTTTATGTCAACTTGACACAAACTAGAGGAGGGAGCCTTATTTGAGGAAATGTCTTAAGACTGGGCTACAGGTAAACCTGTAGGGCATTTTCTTAATTAGTGATTGATGAGAGAGGGTCTATTCCATTGTGGGCAGGGCCACCCCTGGGCTGATGGTCCTGAGTTATTTAAGAAAGCAGGCTGAGCAAGCCATAAGGAGCAAGCCAGTAAGCAGCATCCTCCATGGCCTCAGCATCAGCTCCTGGCTCCAGGTTCCTGCCCTGTTTGAGTTCTTGCCCTGAATTCCTTCAGTGATGAACAATGATGGGGATGCACGAGCCTAATAAATCCTTTCCTTCTCAACTTACTTTTGGTCACAGTGTTGATCATGGCAGTAGACACCCTGAGTAAGACACTGCAGAAAAGTCAAGTTTTGTTGCTATCTGGTGAAACCAAACATTTGAGAAAGAGAAGGTGATGGGGAAAAGAAGAGCGTTATGGGCAACAAGCTGGAAAGTTGGTAGATGAGGACTCTGGGGTTCTTAAAAAAAAAGAAGAAACCATCTTGTGAGGGGTTGCAGGTACAAGGCTTTATAGGGATTGATTTTTGGCGGGGACATGGGGTAGGTAGGCCTTTGAAATGGTAGAAAAGACAGTAATTTTGAATTTTCTGAAGTTTGCTTTTCTGTTCCACATACTGTTGGCATCCAAAAGTCACCAGAGGTTCTGGGCTTGTTCTGTAAATCTAAAGAAAGGTTGCTGATTAAATAGCTTTATGTCCCATGCCATTTTAAGTCCTTTTCCTAGGAATAGCTAACTCTGCAGTTAGGAAAGTGTAGAAGGCATTTTTCACCACAGGATAGCCAAAGGCATCTGTCTTTGGAGAACAGGGAAAGATATCTAAAAGAGCATCTTTCCCTGAGTAAGATATTGAAATGAAGCCTTCCATGAAAGAAAGAATTTAACCACTAGGTCATTTCAGCCAGAGGCGTCCTTTGTAGCAAAGCTGGAGGAAGACCTGCAGTGGACTGCGCAACTGTGTGGCTACCAAACTCAGGGATTTTTACGATGGACTAAAAGCCATGTGTTAAGTTAGAGTTTGCCCTCTGTAGCATCAGTATACAATGAGTTATTATGTGTTCCTGTGCATTGAATAGTTTATCATTCAGAAGCTTCCAGTTTTTTAAATTTATTTTTAAGTTAAAATGTAATCACAGCATTTCTTCATTTCCCCTTTCTCCCTCCAGCCCATCCCATATCCTCTTTCTAACTGCCCATGTCCTTCCTTCCTGTAGCCAGAAGTTTTCCTGTGGTCCCGCCTGGCCCCACGAGGTCCAGAAAAATCTCTCTCACCCGAGGTCCGACAGCTGCTCGTAAAATAATCATTCAGAGGCTTAATATTATTATCAGCTGTATGACCATGGCTTATGGCTCAAGCTTCTTGGTAGCTAGCTCTTGATAACTAAATTCAGACCATTTCTATTAATTTATATGTCGCCACATGTTCTGTGGCTTTACTTGTGTGCCATTACATGCTTGGATTTCCCACCTGCCTCTAAGCTGCCTTGCCATAGGCCAAAACAGCTTTATTTATTAGCCGATGGGAGCAACACATATTCACAGCATACAGAAAGACATCCCACAGCACCTCCCTCCCCCATTTCCTTTTCAAATTGAGTCCTTTTTTTTTTTTGATCATTATTGTTACATTCATGCACATGCCCATACAAATATCTAAATACAACCCAATGAGTCTGTTTTGTTGTTTGTGTGTATATGATTTCAGGGCTGGCCACTTTCTGTTACATAACCAGTTGGGGTTGGGGGCGGGGCGCTCAGCCCTGGGAGAGGGTAATTCTTCCTCTCAGCAGTCTTACTTACTTGTAGTTCTTTATCTAGATGTGGGACTATGTGAGATTTCCTCCTTTCCAAGTTACCATGTCTGTTGATGTTCCTGTTGATATTGTCATTGCTCAGGTTTTGTTAAGGCTGCCATTTTTAGAAAATACAATCTCTAAGCAGACTTCCTGGTCCCTCTGGCTCTTAAAATCTTTCCACCCTCTCTTCCACGGTGTTCCCTGAGCCTTAGGTGTAGGAGTTGTGTTAAAGATATATTTGCTGGGCCTTGGCTCCCCACAGTCCAGTAATCCAATCGTATCCACTTGTGGCTTTCTGTGATGGTGTCCATCTGATGTACAGAAAACAGCATCTTCCAGTTATATAAGTACAATGTTTTTCAAAGTCTGTCTTGCATAGTCTTAATATGGCTCTACCAGTTGTCTTCTGGTTAGTGTTTACATGATACATGTTTTTCTAACTTTACTGTCTGCCTCCCATGGACATATGCTATGGATTTCCCTTACAAATTGCAGGTGTTTTGTTTGTTTGTTTGTTTGTTTTTTAACTTTTTCTTAAAAATAGTGTTATAACCTCTGCCTTTTGATTGCAGCTTTATTCCATGTAACATAGTAACTGCTTTTCTTAGATGTAAATCAACTGTCTTACTTTTACTTTCTAATTGTACCAAAGGTTTTTTGGCTAGTTGTCCTCTTCTCTCCAGTACTTAACATGTGTGGTAGGTATTATAGTCACCTGCAGTTGTTTAGTGGCCGGCATCATGCCTCTCTAACCTAAAATCTATTCTTGTTTTCAGCAAAAGTTCAAGTTCACCCTATTTATTCCTTCTCAGCTGATAGGACTTTGTAATATATTTGAATTCTACATTATAAAATGAATGTGTATGTATATATGTATATATATATATAGTATATATAACATATTTATATATGCCCTATTCATTTAGAATTATACAAGTGCCCTTTTTGTCATAGTTTATTCCTTGCCAAATTTTTGAACTAGGATAACTTCCATTTATGTCTAAAGGATAATTTTTAGTATTTTCCTTAGTTCATGCCTGTTGTTGACAAATTTTCTTATCTGAAATTGTCTGTACAAAAATGCTTTCATTTTTGAAGTCTATTCTTTCGGATGCTATGTTATGTCTACTGGTAGGCATGTGCTGTCTGCACTTTGGGTAACTTCGCCCTTTGTTACCTGGCTTCTGTTTCACAGGCACCGCAAACCATGTGGTTTATTTCTTTGAAGGAAATGTGTCCTTTTTTGCCTCTTGGCTGCTTTTAATGTTTCTGATTGCCTTTGTTTTTCAGCAGTTATCCTGTAAAATTCTTGTATCTGGACTGTTCTCTCATCTCAGCCATTCTTGCATACTGCTCTGTCCCGTATTTTGCATCTCCGTCTAGCTCTGCATAGGGTGACCTTGTCATTGCATTACCTCTCTGGCCTCTGCTTACTTTCTGTTTGCTGCATTCTAGAGGTTTCCCTCGTAGTCTCCCAGTTTCCACGTTAGCTATGTCCCCTTTGCCCATCCTATATGCACACAGCTTTTCATTTGGATTGTTTTGTTTTCAGACCTCCTTTACTTCAGGTTCTGATATTTCTGGTATCTAGATTTTCTGTTCATTTGGATCATACCTGTTTTTTTTATTATGATTTTATTCAAATTGACTTAACATATTTCCAGTGATATTTAGCAGTATGTTATATATCATATTGTCCTGGCTGTTTGTAGAGATATTTTTGGGGTTTCTTTATAACTTTATTTTCACCTATACAAGAACTACTCCTTGCTCTCTGTGAGGAGGGTAGTGTGCTATGCCTTTATGTCGACTTTGGATAACTAAATTGTCTACATTTTGTCAGAATGATTTCATGGTCCCTGTATTTCTTTCTTTGTAAAGTTTTTCTAAATAATGTACAATAAAAAATTGCCAGATTTCAATCAGAGACATGGAGATTAAAGTGTTTCTAGATCGAATAGACCAATAAAGTGCATAAGAAATAGAATTGATTGAAGGAGGGATAGAGGGGTGGGTTTACAGATAAATATATAATAAAGCAAATATAGTTGCTGCTAATAACATCAGGGGAATAGGGATATGGCTATTCACTGTGAAAAAAATTTATTTGTATGATATTATTTGCAATAAAATTCAGGAAGAAAGTGAAACAACATGTACTTTGTTGTAATCTTGAGTCATTCAAATTTTGTAATCTTTTGATAACACAGAATCCTGTGTTCTAATTTTTTTTTTTTTTTTTTTTCCGAGAAAGGGTTTCTCTGTGTAGCTTTGGAGCCTGTCCTGGAACTCACTCTGTAGCCCAGGCTAGCCTTGAATTCACAGAGATCCGCCTGCCTCTGCCTCCCGAGTGCTGGGATTAAAGGTGTATGCCACCACCGCCCGGAGTGTTCTAGAATTTGATATGATCTGACTGACACCTTGGAGAATTTTGGTATTTTATGTATCAATGCTGAAGCGACATCTGCCTGTCATTGGGTCCTTTGTTGTGAAACTTAGGAGTGGTATTTTAAAAAGTCTGGGAACTAACTGTAACCTTGAGAAATATCTCTGGTTCCTTTTGGCTCATTTGTCCTTGTCTGTGTCATTCGACCAGTCCTTTGAGTGAGGGGTGCCAGTCCTTCCTACCTACTTTGCAGTACAGAAATAGGCTGTAAATATGAGATGCAAAAGGCAAATGCACTTAGTCTTCAAAGTCATTTTTTTCTGTCTTCTTGCATGAAATCACAAATATGTAAGGAGATTCCTTAATATTAAAATTTTCCTTGGCTAAGAGATGGCTCAGTTGGTAAAATGCTTAGATCCCCTGCATCCATGTAATAAAAACATGGTGCCATGTGTCTGTAATCCTAGCCTAGGGAGGTAGACATAGTAAGACCCTTGTGGCTTCTTGGTCAGCCAGTCTAGCCAAATTGCCAAGTTCCAAATTCAGTGAAAGATCCTGTCTGATAAAATAAGATGGTGAAGCAGTCAAGGAAGATATCCAATGATGAATTCTGGTCTGTATGTGCACACAAAGTTTTCGAACTTCCTACGAGTGTGCACAATGTTACAAGTGGCCAGTCTGGTTAGCATGTTGGGTGTACTTGGTGTTCGATAAATGTAAAAACCTGTCTGGGAAGGAAGTAGAGGAGAGAGGTGGGAAGAAGGAACAAAGGTGGGGTGAAAGAAAGATGAGAGAAGGAGGAGGAAAAGGCAGAACAAGCAAGGAGAGCCCGTATGTGTAGCAGGCTCCAGTTCTGTGGTGTTAACTAACCAGCACGGCCAATTCGAGCTCCCAGCACGGCTCACCTGAGTGCAGGGCCCGGAGCGGGTAAATGCAGCCAGCTCCATGCCTGCCACAGTCATCTCTTACTTTACATACCATTTCTTATGTTTTTGAGGAAACTTACAAGTTTAGTTACAATTATTTTATATAGACAACTAAAATACCTGTATGATTTGGTTATGGTTTGTACAAAAAGCTACCTGGAGTGTAGAAGGATCTATGAAACTTTATTGTTTTTCTGTTCCAGTTATAAAGATGTCTTTTTCCCTCAGATGGTGGTGTATAGAAAAGTATGTATGTGGTCTCTGAACAAGTTAAATGTTTCTGAAGTTGGTGATGGAAACAAATGTCTGTAATGTGGCTTTATGACAATCTGAGCTTGTGTGGCATTGAAGAGTTTTTTGTTTTGTTTTGTTTTTTCTTTTCAGGCATTTTTGTTGCCTTCCTGTGAGATATCTGTAACGAGAAAAGTAGTTCAAGTATACAGGAAGTGGATCCTCCAGCACCAACCTGTGTTCATGGAGGAGCCAGATAAAAAGGATGTTGCCCAGGAAGATGCTGACAAATTAAGACTTTCAGAGACCGACTCCAAGGAGGTAACATTATCGCTCAGTCCCTTGAGTTGAGGGTACATACCCCTTGGCAAAGTAGACCTGCTTGGTCAAGGGTCTCACTCTGCCCACAAACACAGAAGGGAGCATGACATTCTCAGGTTGTTGGGTTCTGTGCAGACCTGCCTTAGAAGCATCCTTCATGCTCTGTCTTTGGTGGGCAGTTGTTTCCTTCACCCTTAGCCTAGAGCTACATGAACATGGCAACTTTCTTAATCACTGTTGCGAGACAGCTGTTTTCTCATATTTTGCAATTCTCTCTGTGAGACTGAAAAGCTCTTATCCTCTCCTTGACTTGTTTAAATAAATAGTTGTTGGAAAAATTAAATGTAGAATGTTTTGCCAGACTTGTTTTTTGCAGCTGACTGCCCAGAAGAAATCTGTATTAAATGTTTGAAGAGATAAGCCGAGTAAAGAGCAAGTACTTCTGGTGTGCCAGGAGTGCTGCCTTCCTGCAGGGGGCACTGTCCTATTCAAGGCTGAGGCTTGAATAAGCTTAAAATGACAATACGGAACATCATCCTAAGCACAAAAGAAACAAATTGTATTTATGCCTCGGATTAAATTAATTTACAATATTTAAAATTCTTAGCCACAGACTTAAAAATGTTAAATGTCTGAATTGATTCTGTTGTTTTGATGTTTCGATAATGGGGAAATCATTTTAGTAACTAGTCATGAGGTCAGGTCAACAGTAAGCAAGTAGAATTGGTGTGTGTAGAGGCCCAATTCCTATGTCCCAGCATCAGGCAAACACGTGGCTCTCCTAGTACACACTAAGGGCTGAGACCACCTGGGGTGCTAGAGGTCAAGTGCAAAGCAGAGTGTAAGGACCAAGCATGTAAACACAGGCTTCTCCCTGACTGGCTAATGGATCCTTACCTTCTTAAGGCCTCATCTGAAAGCTCTGGTCATAAACGGTCATCCAGCTGGGGGCGCACGTATTCCTTCACAAGTGCCATGAGCAGAGGGTGTGTGACAGAGGAGGACAACACGAATGTGAAAGCTGGAGCCCAAGCTATGCTGCAGGTATGTTACCATTGGGACACACAGACAGCCCTGGTGGAGAAGACGCTTTGAACGTTTGTTTAGTTAGAGTAATGTCATATAAACTGCGCTGGTATTCTGTGCTTCAGGTGCTAAAGAAACCTTAAGTTCTAAGTTTTTCTTCCTATTTACAAATGAAAAATTTTTTTTCTAGTCACAAAAGATGTGAGATTTGGTTGCAGGTTTTTTGAGAAGGATTTATTTTACAGTGAATGTGAAATTTATATGATTTGTACCTGAAAGTGTCTTCCAGGCACATCTAAATAGTTACTTGGGTTTTAATTTGTAAGACCTTATTCTCTGTGTAGATACACACACACACACACA